CTCTATTATAAACACCTAAGGCAATAATATATACAAATATTTCTACTTTTTCAACTATTGACATGTTCCTACTATGTTTCAACCTATACTTAGATTCTAACTCTTCACACAATTGCAAAAAGACTCTTAATTCCGTTCTAAAAGCATTAACACATCAAAAAGGATGTCTACCTAATACTTCTTTCATCCAATCCACCCATTTTTTATGTGAAGTCATGCATGGTTCTTTGTAAATATATTTATAGTAATACATAGTTAAGGCACTTGTTGTTCATGTAGCCATAAACCAAAAACTCTTTACTTTTTCTTTCTCCTTTTAAATCCATAACGAGCCTATACAATGATAAACAAAATAAAATATAAACAAAAACTACAATGTTTATGATTTATATATATATATATATATATATATATATATACACACATACAAATTGAATTAAAAGACAAAGTTAAATAGTTCATATATATATATTTCAAAGTTAAATATGACATATTGTACATAAACTTTAACCAAGTCAACCTACATGCATCATCCTCCATAGCAAAGAAAATGTCTCTTCTTCTTGCATCCTCAAGCAAACGATTAGCATAACACTACCACTCACTACACCCTTCCAAGCCATCCATGTTATTAAGAACACTCATCATCATTACACCATTATTTGGTGTTGTTTGAGTACTATTGACACTATTAGGAGTGCTACAATTTGTCTCAAGTGCTTGGACTGCAGACCACAAAATTCTACCATGTTTTCAAGATGACGGTTTATCATTGCAAATCTCATTGAATATCTCTTTTTACGCTTCACTAACACTTAATTGTTCCTTTTTATAATATTCTTTTGTAGTTTTTTAGATGTCCTAATACCACTACTTGGCACTTAGGTAACATCACAGCCTTGGATTGATTCTTATCTATTACCATTAAACACTTCATTTTTTGTAAAATCAAACCAAAAAGTGCACCCACTTCTTTCAAGGTTTTCAAGCGAGATGAATATTAAGTATACTCTAAGTTAAATTGATATGCAATATCATCATCCTCACCAACTTCATCTTCAGTATTTGGTTCTTCTTTAGTATCTACTTGAGAATCCTCAACATCATCCATGTTCAAACTTAAAAGATTCATACCCAAAGTAACACATTCTAGCCCATTAGTAACCACTTCTCCATATAAGTGATCGCATAGCTATTCAATGGTAAGTGGTACTCCTTTATTACAAAATTTTTTTAAAATCAAGTTTTCCCTGTATAATAACATTTAATTATTAAATCAAACAGAACATTATTTTTTTGTATACTTTCTCTGTTAAATTTTTAATTTAAAAAGACTAAAAATAATTTAAAAATTTTCTCCTATTTAAAAAAATGAAATTGTTATTTTTTTCTTAATTTCATTAGAAAAATAAAGTGTCAAAATATGTTTTTTCTAAATATTTCTTTTATCTAAAAACAAAAAAATTAATATTTTTTATAAATAATTCATTGCTTTAATTCAAATTGAGAAAAGATTTTCTTTATAAAATTGTGTGTCTTTGTTTAAAAAAAATACAAAAACTAAAATATCTTATAAATTATAAAACATAGAAATGAAACTAAAAAGATAATAATAAATTTGAAAATAGAAAATTGTATTCTTTTGAGTGAAATAAATATTTGTAAAGTTAAAATATTTTTACGTAATTAATTAGAAGGTAATTAATTTATTTAATGAACATAGTAGGATGCTGATATTTTCCTTATGCGTAAACAATTCTTGAATCTAAATATGATTTTAAAGATTATTTTCTTTAATTAAAGTTTTTTCAATATTTTCTTTGATAAGCTTGGGTAACAACTTCCTGTTATCATTTTTTTCTTAAATTGATTGCAACCCCTTTTCTACCATCTTCTTTTTCTCTATGTGATTATTGTCTCATCGTGATCCTAGTTGCAAAAGTTTGCTAGGACAACATGGATTTTATATTTTTTAAAATGTTCATCTTGAATCATCAACACATATTCAATCTCATCAAAACAGTGTAAAGATTGATTCTTGAAATGATAGATGTGACAAAGGAGTCATATTCTTCTCCTATACCATCAAGAATGGCTTCAATGTGATCCTCTATGGAGATGAAATGTCTTATGGCTTTAAGAGAATCAATAATTTTTTAATCTCCAAAAGATAAGCATTAGTTAACCATGAATTCTTTTTTATGGCTTTGAGTTGAACCTTCAATTGATTTATTATTGCATGAGTTCTTGATACAAAAAAGGTTTCAAGTTTTTGCCACAATCATTGAGAGGTTGAACAATTGATCATACAGTTGTAGAGAGGTTCAGTCATAGAAAAAATAAGTCATAAAAGAATTAGTTGATCTTATTGTTTCCAAAGAGAAGAAGATGCTTCAGTGACATCTTCTATTGTGTTGTCAATTTCATTCAATGCATTCTAGGAGGGTGCACCTCATGTAATTATAAAGATTGAATTTATTGTAGCCAATTTCTGATGCTTTTAGGGAAAATAGTTATCTTCATTGAGTTTGAACGAGATTGAGTTTGAGAAAGTATGAATATTGATTTGTGCAGTAGATTCTGGTGCAATAGCAGTCATGGGTCAAAAGGCTTTTGATACCATATAAACTATCAAGAAAAAAAATGTACATAGAGATTTTACATAAAAATAATAATTGCATTTTATCTTATCTATATTTGTGATGGGATTACATTATAATAAGATAGTATAATTGAAATGTGAACCATATAAGTAACAAAATATAACTAACACTATTTTGCTATCTTAACATAGAAAATTCAAAAAAATAAAAATAAAAATGATTACTATGCTAACATAAAAAAGTAAAAAAATAAATAAAAAAATGAGCTTTTAAGCTAGTCAAGGAGTGAGAGATGCAACTTTTTTGTTAGGCTTAGTTATTAACTTAAGTAAAGTGTTAGGTTAGTAAATCATTGATTAAATTATAACAGTCACAATTTAACTAGTTAGGCTTAGTTATTAACTTAAGTAAGGTGTTAGGTTAGTAAATCATTAATTAAATTATAACAGTTATGATTTAACTAGTTGATGATTTAACTAGTTGAACCGTACATATACACACATACAAAGGACAAGCTGGATTAATAAAAGAAAACATAAATACAAAACTAAATGAATTAAAGGCTAGCATAATTTCAAATAGAGGTACAACTAAGGTTTTATTTTTGTTTATCAACCCTTTTTCTTCTCTTGTTTTTTTTTTAATCAATGTATAGCACTTCACCCTAAGCTTTTTATATTCAAATTAACTTTGACCTAAAAGTTATCTAAGAAGCAGGGGAAATACCCAAGAGATTATGACTACTTTGATCAATGGGTCATATGCAACAATAACCCACAAGCAAATGCCTTAGAGGTAAAAAATTATGCTAAAAAAATACTTTAACCCAAGAAATATGATAATAAGGTAAGACTTAATAGAGAAACACGAGTATCTTTGCCAAAGACATCTGCATCAGATGAAAAGTGTAGTAAGTTATTCTTGACATGATCTCCTTAGAGGTACTTGAATCTTAAAAAAATGGTCAACAAGGAATGGTTCTTCTTAACAAGTTAAGTCATTAGTTTTCACCAAAATTGGCCGAATCACGTCTATACTGTATTAGAAGCACATATGATCCATACGCTGAATTGATCAAATCGCATAATCCAATCTATGCTTGATAGGTGGTTAAAGTTTGTTTCAATTGTGAAGATGTCCATAAAATAATTCAAATATTTCAACATCAAAATTGAGGATCTTGATTAAGGATATCTTTATCAATTTTTCTTCTGCTTTTCTTTACAACTTAAAGTGCTAAGCTTAGATTAATTTTGAAGAGATTGTAGTCTTAAGTTTCCAAAATTTTAAATTCTAAAATCAAATTTTAATTAGATGTATTTTGTTTTAAAATGTCCATTTAAAAACTAGCAAATACTTCAAATGTGTCCTTAGCTTTTCAATATATAATCGGTTCAAAGACCATGGTGTTTAGAAGAACAGAGTCTTTATTGTTGAGTTCACAGAGAGTAATCTTGTTATCATGTTATTGCTCAAGAAAAAAAAAATATCTAAAACGTTTACACCATGAATAAAACAATAGATTTGGTCAGAACATAAATCTTTTGGTGGTTGTGGTCTTTTCTCTTTGGGAATAATTATACTAATTTCTTTTCTAGGTTAGCAGTAAATAGGGTTAAATGTCACTTAATTTTCTAGCACTTCCGTGATTTTGTAATTTTTAAAAATATAATGCATAATATTGCAAAAAAAAAAATAGATATATATTAAAGAAAGAGAGAAATATGCATAACATTTTAAAAACAATGATTTTCACTACAAAGGAATTAAATATAACAAATGAAACAATTATAATTTTTAAATCAAGCCTAAACTAAGTGCATTGAATTTAGTACTAATTACGCAAAAAATCAATTATATCTCTGTTATTATTAAGATGACAATGAGAAGATATGAAATTGGTTATTTCAGGTAGAATTTTAAACGGTCCATCCTCCACAAATAAACACACAACTCAAATTTCAAAGATAACTAGTCTGAAATTTAGGTTGATGAATCTCATGTATTGGTAGTGCCAAAATATTAAAATTGCCATAATAAAAATCATGTTCTTGTCCACAAGCCTATACGAAAAGGAAAAATAAAAAGTGTCCGAAGCTAGATGAGAAAAGAACAAGAAAACAAAAATTGTTCTTCTCCTTCAAAGATTCGGAGGGTCAAACCCTCTAACTATTAGCCTCCGTGCGAACCGAAAGATCTATCATTTCGAGTTCTTTCAGCTTTCTGGTGAAGGCTTTCCCCATTTAAATCCCAACGAAACAGTGAATTACAAAACTTACATAATTCAAACAAAATTCAAAGGCTGCGAAAACGATGTCTGCAAGGTTCAACCTCAATCACCATAGCTAGAACAGATTATCATTCTTCCAAGAGCAAAATAAAAGAATTTAAAAGAAAGAATATCCGAATACATCTAGGCAAGGAACAGAGAAGAAGCGTTCCGTACCCTCAAACCTATTCGAATGTTTGACACTTGATATGTGCCTCTGTCTGAACCGAACGGTGTTTATTTCACCGCTTGGTTATTCTGGAGGCATAAGAAAAAAAAATTATAAGAAGAATTAAAGGGGAAAATGTGAAAGGCTGCTTGAGGGACAACTGAAGAGAGAACGCAGAGCCCCTTCAAAAGGCCTCTCTTAGACGGAAGCAAACGTTAATTTGGTTCCAATTTCTGTGTGCCCCCTAACTAAGCCGCATATGAAATTGGTCATTTTCACAGGGCTACTCAAAGAGGCATAAAATGAATGATCCATTTGCGAAGCGGTGTGCCAAACGAGAAGCTATGCTGTTCACAACTTTTTCATTCGCTTCCTTCAATTGAAGCCATTTATAATAAGCAGTGAATGAAATTGAGACTTGGGAGAACAATGGCCTCTTGCGCCGCAGCGTAAATGTTGCGCCCTCATGTTTCAGCTTTGGTTTGGGATTTAGGGTTTCTTCCTTCCCAATTTAAAATGATGGTTTTCCGGTTGGAATTACCTTACTACCCTTGTTTATTTGCTCCGGATAAGTTTAGTACTAGTGACTAAAACACTTTTTGTAATTTAAATTATGATCGGAAATTTAGTTTTCCCTGTAAATAAAAATTTATTTAAACAAAAATATATTAAATAGTACTATTGTAATTAGCACGAAACATAAATGAAAATAAAATTATTAATGTCCTTTATATTGTGTTTAATAAAAAATAAAACCTGTGTTATATTTTGTTTTTATTGTTTATTAAATAAAAATATTATTTTTAATTATATATTTATGTCTTTTGTTTAAAAATAGACTAAATATATAAAACTAATGTTTGCTTAAAACAATATTTTATATCCTTTTTAAATTGATAGTTATAATTATTTTAATATTTTAAAAATTAAAAAATATTATATTTTTTAAGTATAGATCATTAACTCTTGTTATTTATTATAAATATTTAATATAATATTAATTATATAATTATTTTACGTAAAAAAATATAAAATATTATTTTAATCTTTTCCGACACCATAAAAATTATTTGTAAAAATTCATTCAATCAAGATACTTTCTATATATATATATATATTATAAGATAATTATTATATATTATATTTTATATATCAATTTAAAAAATATATCAATTTTTATTGTTAGAAAAAAGGACACGTATTTCGTGATAGTAACTATGGATGTTCATGGATTAGGTAAACTCGATCAACCCAACCTAATTCAAATAAAAATTAATAGATCGAGTTGGATAATCAAGTGTAATCGGGTCTTGAAAACACAAACCCAATTAAGTATGGGCTGATGAGCATAAGGTTTGCCTTTTTGCAACTCAATAAACTTGATCCAAACTGATTACATATAAAAAAAATTACAATATTTATTTATATTTGTATTTTAATTTTTTAATTTTTTTAATAGAGAAAACTCTATTTTACCCCAAAATATATTTAATTATATACAATTTAAACTTTGACTTTTAAAAGTAGGCAAGCAACAACTATACTTTTAAGAGTGTGTGAAAAAGCCCTTTCATTACTCTCACATCTAATTTCTCTATTTTTTTTTTTAGATAAAATTACTCAAAAATGTCTACCACTTTCTAAAGATGAGAGATTAGATATTTAGGGGTATTTTTATCCATAAAAATGGAGAAATTTGATGTCTAATTAACAATAGAGCTTTCAATTTCAAAATTTATGATCTAAATTACACATAATCAATCATATAGAGAGATAAAATAGACTTTTTCCTTTTAAATATGATTTTTGATAAATAATTTATTATTTAAGTATAAATCAAGATTTTATATATAAGTATTGATAGATTATTTTAATTTAATTTGATATTTGTTAAATATTATAGATTACAAAAATATTTTTATTTTTATATACAAAAATGATTGCCTTACCCAAATCAAAATGTTCATGATCAAGTCAAATTTGTTCATGTCACATAAAAAAAGTGAAAAATAGACGCAACACAATCCATTATATTTTAATTATGTCAAATAATTATTTTGCTCAAGTAGACACAACACAACCTATTATACTAATTGTATTATATGTTATTTTATGCCAAAATAAGCATAAAAAAATAAATTATTAATACCTATTTTATTTTTCATATATACACATAATAAACTTGATGAAGAGTATAATGAGCTCTTAAAGAGTGTGAATTCAAATTCAAAGAAAGACAATGACATGATTTGGGAAGAAATAAAAAGGTAAAGATTAAAAGAAAGTATGATGAACCAAAGGGTTGATTTGATAAGGATAGGTTTAAGGTTCTATTTTTTAATAATATATATCATAAGCATGTTAGGAACTTAGAAAAGAGTTGGGAATTTAGGCTATTAGTAGTTTTAGGTTTAAATTTTGATTCTTTATTTTTTCAGTTAGGGTTAGCAAAGAGAGATTATAATCCTTTAAATAGAATTCGGAAAAAAATTTATTGATTGGAGGACTAACTCAAATTTTTTTTTTTTGATAAAGTGACACTTACTTATGTCTATACTTTTAGCATTCTTATTATATAATGCAAATTCATGTTATTTTTAGAATTAAGAATATAAAAATACATTAATATAATATTAATATTTTATTTTTAAATTTTAATTTGTTTAATTTTAATTGTATTCTAGTTCTATTTGAAGACTTAACTGCTATTTAACTTATTCAAATATAATAAATATATTAATTTATTATTAAATAAATTTATTATTTAAATATGTATTTAAATATTATTGGTTAGACTTTTTCATGTACGATACCTTAAAAAATTTTATGGTACCACATAATTTACCTTATTTGTTTTATTCTAATAATGAATTGAAGTAAAATTAAGCCTATTGTTTCTAATAAGGTTTGAGAGCAAATATCTAATATTATATTCTCTGTTTTACTGTTGATTCAAATTCTGTTAGTTGGTTTTTTTTTTTCCAAATGAAAAATTTTCTCTTAGAATTGCTTATGAGCTTTTGATAATAGAGTAAATAATAAGGATAATTAGAATAATAAGTTTAAGATTGTTTGAAAGTGGGTTGATTTTCCAATAGTCTTTCTTTAGAAAATGGCCCATTGTAATATGTTGACTAACGAGGAAAGAAGTAAAAGAGGTTTTTCAAATTCATATTAATGTGAAAGATGTAATTTCGTATGTGATTATACATGTTGTAAGAGACTAATTTATCACTAATAATTTATGGTAATTTTGATTTTTTTTATAATTGTTAGAGTTTTTTCTTCAATTTGAGACGTAGTAATTGAATGAAATTAAACTAAAAAAAAAAAAATAGATGTTTGAATAGTATAAATCATTAGAATGTATATTTGGGGTTTTTGTTGGGTTGCTTTAAAATAATAAGAATTCATGGATTTTTAATAGAAAAGCTTAAAATAGAACCTCTCATTAGCAATTCATATTAAAAGTTATGCTAGTTATATTATTTCCAATTTGGTTCTTGGGATAACTTATTGCTGCAGGTTAAGCAAGAAACTGTAGTATCCAATATTAGAAACTGCAAATTTTATGATTAGTCTTCTCAGTTAAAAACTTCTATGCGGAATAATATCAATTGTTTTGTATCATTATTTTCCTCTGAAATTTCAAATCGGCTTTCTATATCTCAGAAACAAGAAGAATGACACAAAAATTAGAAAGACAATAACACAAATTTCGTGCCTTTGATTTCTTTTTTGGAATACCTTTTGATTTTCAAATGCAGGATCACATAATTTTCTTCTACATCTAAACCTTTTCTTTTCTAGGGAGACCTTCTCAAGGATTGTAAGGAAATTGAATTAAGGTACATTTGTTCACAAAGTTCAATCAAATGTTTATTCAATAAATTTTTTTATATAAAGACTTATATCAAATTTGATTATAAAATTTATTAAAATAATTTTACCAAGTTATCCTACAAAATTTGTTAAGAAAACATACAAAAATAATAAATTATCAATAAATTTATAAGAATTTTATTATCCTCTTAATAATCTTCTTAATATAAAGTAAGTATTCAATTTTGAAACGTGATTCGGAAACTTGATTATGAACAAGAACAAAAAGAAATGAATTGATGAAACCAAACAATCACAGTAATATTACATGATGAAATAGAAAACCCATATAAACATACAAAAGGTACAGTAAGGAATGAATGTGTTACAGAAGAATGTGAATCATAATAAGGAAAACACAATGAAAAACATAAACCTCTGCACATGTCCCATATAATTAGGATAAACAAGGTGTCACTTCACAAACTCAGAAGAGAAGCCCAAATGCAAGAGCAACAAGTGAAGCAAGCGCTGTTGGGACAAACAGAGAGGTAGCGTCCGATGTGGGACTTGGAGCTGGTGACTCCGCAGCTGAAACACTTGATGCTGCCATCATCAACATGGCCACCACCAAAGCGAAGAAAACCTTCATCTTCAATGCCTCCATTTCATTAAGAAAAATTTGAAAATTCTCTCTTTTTTTTCTCTGTGTGAAGAGAAACTTGAGAAGAAGAGGCAAAGAAGGGCTAGGTAGTGGGTGGAAACAAAGTGCAAGTGTAGGCTATTTTATATAGTTGATGAAAGGATAAACAAACAAATGTGTAGGAATTATTGTTTTTAATAAATGTTTTTCATTTTCTAGCATTTCAAGTTTTCTTTATGGCTTCCCTCAAATGGGTTGGGTTAGACTTCATTTATTATTTTCTACTTTATGTTATAAGGTATTGGAATGTATGAGTATAAGCCACTTATTATTAGTACAAGAATGGGTCATTCAGGAATTTTTGTTTTATTTTATTTCTGACCTTTTCTGGTCTTATTTATATAGCAAATAACTTAGTTTTTTTTTTTAACTAAGTTGTTTAGGCTATTAGACTTTTATTTAACTATTGTTTATTTTTTTATTATTTATATAGTTTATCATAGATCAATGTAAAATATTAGTTCAGAAAAAAAAATTGTACCCGTCGATTTATGCAATGTGCAGTTCAATACTTAAATTTTAGAAAAATATAAAATATTTATGAACGGATGCTAGTAAAAAGGATCATTTTTCACTCATTGAAAAGTCTTGAAAGCCCTAATTTTATGAAATATAATTTTACACTTATTGAAGATAAATTTCTATCAAATTTTATAAAATATTATGTAACCTTAAAAGGTATAATATAATCTGATTTTTTAAAAATTATACGAAATATATTATTTTTATTAAAGATTATATCAATTTCAGAACTTAGAAATTATCGTTTCTGCACTTACTCTTTTTTATGGTTTTTCCGTACTTATTTAAAGACCATACTTTTATTTTTGAACAAAAATCTAAGCGGATTCCATAAAAAAATAAATCACCAGAAAATATTTTAGTTTTTTATTTATGAAAATAACTTACGAACGACGTAGTAGATTTCTGTTGAATGTGACATATTATTAATTAAGAAAATCAATGCGTGTTTTGCATAGCAAAGCTATTTCTTTGTAATCCAGGATAAGCTATAAGTTAATATCATGCCAATGTTTTGTTTACAAATTTTAACTTTGTTTAACCTAATTTCATCTATAATTATCACTTATCAAAAATATTTTTCTAATAAAAATTGATTTAATATAATTTTTAAAAAATATATTCCCTATAAACATCTTTAAATTAAGTTTAAAAACTAATAATACGTTTGTTTGCAATAACATTATAACATCTCGTACAAAATATTATAGTAACATATAACTAATAAATTATTATTAATTTTTAAATATATATAGGCTAATAATAAATAAGCTAATGACTTATAACGTGTATGGAAAGCATGCTCTTTACACAGTATTTGAACAAATATTTTTATAAAAATAAATTTTTATAAAATCTTATAAATTAAAAGAATATTTTATATTTTTTTCATGTAAAATAATAATTAGTATTAGTTTTATATTATATATATATATATAATAGATAGCAGAAATTAATAGTTTATTTGAAAAAAAATACAAATATTATTTAATTTTTAAAATATTAAAAAAATTATAATCATTAATTTAAAAAATACAAAATATAATTTTTATCATAGTTTAAGTAATATTTATTTGCTAATCCTTTTCCAGGTTTCGGTCAGCCGAAGCTGCCCGTAAGGTAGTTGGACAGCGTGTCTTTATGGGGCTTTACGGTGCCATACAGCTGTCGCCAACGGTTTGCAGGCCCACTCCTCATTTTCTTTTTTTTTTTAAAAATAAAATAATATTTTTTTATTGCCTTTCGTTAAAGTAAAATAACTGAGTTTGAACTTAGAATATACTTCGTACATGTCTAGATTTTTTTTTGCCTTTCGTTAAAGTGAAATAATTGGGTTTGAACTTTGAATATACTTCTTGCATGTTTATAATTTTTTAAAATTATTCTTGTAAAAATGCGAAAAATAATAATTATTTTCTTTAAAAAAAAAAAGCATTTTGAGCTTGCTATTGTTATTCTCTTTGGCTTTGAATATGCTATTAGATTAATAGATAGATAGATAATAATATAATAAGGGTTGTATTTAATTATTTGTGTAAAGATTTAGAGTGGTTTATTTAGTAGTTTATTGGGTGCTTAGGTATTGGAATGCGTAGATAACTTAACAAAATAGAGGGTGATGACTGGTTGAGCTGGTTTTGAGACTTTTATTACCTGGATTCACTTATTCTTTTCAATTGTGTGTGGTTTGAACATTGATAATGTTGATGTCAACTAACTAACCTCATTAACTTATTCTCCCGTGTTTGCCATGTGGTTCGTGATGATTGAGCAGTTGCAGAACACCTTTCAGTGGACAAAACTTTCATTATAAAAAAAACATGAATTCAAAAAGTAATTTTGGTATCACATGGCCAAAGGTTCTACCATTTTGCACCTCCAATAATTAGGGGTTATAATTGGAAATATATTTTTATTTATAAAATGTAATATATATATATATATATATATATATATATATTATGATGAATGTAAAATTAATAAAATTATGGGAATTAAATAAGAAAAAAAGTTGGGTCCCTTGGCAGTGGTGTTATCGGCCTTACCTTAGAACGGGCTTTTGTATTGGACAAAATGACAATTGAGTTCCCTGTCAACATTCTGGATCCATGTGCATGTACTAAGTAGGTCCAAATTCGTCTATTGCAATCTTGTGACATAGGAATCAAACTATATTGACATTGGACTCATCCGTGAATAGTTACAAACATTTTTTTACATGGAAATCATTATTATTTATTTTATACTTTTCATTATGGTTAGATACTATATCTTTAAATATTAAATTTGAGTCTTTATTTTTTTCATTTAAAGTTTTATAGATAAAATGAATGTTTAACTACACTTATACTAAAATAATGTAAATAATAAAAATATCACAATAATATAAAAAAATAATGGAGCATGCATGTTCAAAATTAAATATTCATTAGCACACAACAAAATAAAAGTAAACCATACTTTCTAGACACTCAAAAAAATTATTTTTCTTTCTTTTCTTCTATAATAACTCAATCTAATACTAAGACAAACATGAAAGTAATACAACTTGAATTCAATCATCTTCTATCAATAAAAGTTGTTATTGTGATTTATTGGTTTAAGACATCTGTAATTGATCTTATGATGTACATGGTAGTTTAACCAACTATATGTAAGTGGCTGTGATGAATTCGATTGTATGGAGGAAATGAGCATGTAATTATAGGTGATGAAAGTGTGATTAATGAGTGTTTAGAGGATAATGAAAAATAAATAATAAATAATATCAATAGAAGTTTTAAAAGAAAGTATGGTGTAAAGCTCAATTTGAACAAGTTACATATTTTCATAATAAACTAAACATAGGAAACAAATTTGCTTTAAATTTTGTGGGAATTGGACAGTCTAGTTTTATTTTTGCTTAAGTGAATCTCTGTTCACTTAAGTGATTCCTTTAGCGAAAATAAAAATTTCTCTTCTCCTTCATCTCTCACACCTTTCTTCTCCCTCTTGATACCATCAGTGTCCCTTCCCCTTCTCCCACTCATACATCCACCTCCAACCCCTTTTCTCCTTCCTCCTCCCCTCCACCTAGCCTTGCCCCTTTTCCTTCTACCTAGCCCCCTCCCGCCAACCCTTTTCCTATCCCCCTTCTCCAAGCTCCCCTTTCCCATCCCAGTCTCACTCCCCCAACCCCACACACTCCCACCGGCTCCCCTTCTCAGCCCTTGTAATTCTTGTAGAAAAATTTGATATTAACTTAAATGAACTAAATTTTCTTAAGTGAAAGTGGAACTGAACCATCCAGTTTTTACGTGAACTAGAGTGAATTTGGATTCACTAAAGATTCAATTTACACTAAGAAGAGTTAAGAGACCATGAAAGTTAATGCCCTCATAGAATAACTACAACCCATTAGGTAGCATTCACTCAAAGAAATCAATCTACACAGAGAACCACTTGTTATCCAGGAAGAAGATCCAAAGGTTAAAGTACTGTTCATGACACATCAGTTAAATTGTCACCTTAGTTAGCATTGTATCATTGAGTTGCAATGAAATAGAGTGATAGCTAACTTTCCAATACACGTCATTTCAACCTCCTATTGGGAAAGCTCTAAACAAAAATGGCAATACGATGTGACTTGTTGGCAAACTAAAAACCCATAAATGGGCAATGAGTGAAAGGTAATAGGAAGAACTCGAATTCATTTAATGTCCCTTTCATTATAAGAACTACGGGGAAAGAGGATAAGGGTAGAATAAAAAGAGAAAATGGCAGAATATTGTATATGTTCTGCTATATACACTGCATTGTATACGCTTCATTAAGTTTACAAACCTAGAACTCTAAGAATTTAATAATATTTCCATTTTTTATAAAACATTTGGTGACTCCACTGAAGAAGCACTTGCAATGGAAGAAGAACAATCTTAACAACAACTTGCAATCACACTGCTAAAGGACTTTGTACAATAAAAGGAACATGTACAAGTTTTGCTGGGACAAAGGTGGGGTAGAGTTTGAGAGTCGACTGAAACTAAACTTGTTGATATGGCTAGATACACCCGTGACTGGGGCAGTGTTGACAACAAGAGAATCTAACAACCCTATCAAAGGTAATCCTCTAGCAACCATACTTTTGACAAACCCTAACTATCCTATTGCAAGCCAATAAAGTTTAGTAAAGGTAATAACAAAGTTACAAGCATAGATGCACAATTGAGAGCAAGAGATAACCCCTCCCACCAATGGTCATGGGTCGCATACCAGAAGGGATACTACTATGATGTGTCAAGAGTTACGACAATGACTCATGGAAAAGCAATGAAGCATCGGAAAAGAGGTGGACTCGTGATGTTCATAATGTTTGACAAAACAAGTAGCACTCGTGAGCATCTTATGGCTTTTCAAGATAACTTAGGTGTATTCTGCAATGAGAAAGATCTACGAGTGAAGGAGTTCTTCAAGTTTTTGATAGGATGTGCATTCATGTGGTATGCTAAATTGA